GTTTAACTAATGATGTGATATACAAATTAGAAAGATTTTCCAAAGAAATTTAAAAAATGATTGCTGTCCAAAGCTTGAAATGAATTTTTCCCTGTGGTTTCTCTCTCTCTCTCTCTGTTGTGTATATTTAAGTTGAGAGTGTGCACTCTTCTCTTAAGTCTGTGAACTTGATTGCTTTGAAACAGTTGTGCTTTGTGGGGCTGAATGGGACTAAGAATGTGATTCAATATTGGGGATCAGACTCTACTTCTGCTTTGTATTCAGCTGTTAATTTTTTTTTAAGCCTACCAATTCATATGAGCAAATATTTTGCATCTAGATATGTCTAATGCATCACACATATTGTAAATGAATAAGATCTCCATAGAGACCAATTTGACATACTCCCAGAATTCTCAATGTGCCCGCTGGCCTAAAAAGACTGGGGACTCCTAACTGTTCTTTTTCAAAAGGTATTCAACTGGATACAGGGCAGATGTTCAGTTTGTATTGGTTTAAACCAGGAATGATCTCCAACCTTTTTTTTTTAGCCCTCAAAATCTCTTCATACTGCAAAAAAGGGCAGAGCTGTTTTTGGTTGGAAAACTTGAAAACTATCATAAGCCAGTTAAAAGAAAAGCTTTAAAACCTTGGGGAAAGCCCAGAAAATCCTAGCTGTATGCATGTGTGAGGCAGCCTTGTCACTTTCCTTGTCACTTCAAGCACCATTGCAGTCTCTCACACACACACTCCAATTGTGGCCCCACCACCACCCAAAAGCGGCTTGTCCCAATTTAAGCATTAGAAACACAGAGAGATCTATACAATGAGGTCCATTACCCACATGCATATTGAAAAGGGCTAGAAGAAAGTGACTTAGATGTTTTACAAGTTAGGCTCTGATTGGTTTATCACCTACACCACTATCTGAACATGTTAGATCCTTATTACCAGGTGGGAAGCCGAAAGAGTGCAACAGCACCACAGTTTTGTTTTTAAACACACAATGCAGGATCTGAAAGAACAGTACACAACAAAAAAGCAGCATTATAATACAGAGTTATATCCACAAGGGTTGGAGTCAACTTACAACATCACACAATTGTAGACCACTGTTAATATGACAAGTCAGAATCAAGTCTGGTTGGGATTCCTAATGAACAAAATTCCCCTTTTCTCTCAAGTTGCAGTAAAAATTCATCTACTTTCATTGTCTTCCTTGGATCAGGCCAAATGAAATGCTCAGCTGCGTAAAAAGTCCCCTGCTCCATTAACCTGCATGCAGACTGGTTTCATTCCTGAATGTTTTAAAATAATAACATTTGAAAGAGATACGCAATGAGAATCAAATTAGAGTAGGGACCCAATCTTGGTTGCTAATTACTTTTTCAATCTTCTCAGCCATACAGGCAATGAGAAGGCCACACTACAATTCTGTAGTGACAGCTCTTGTTATTAGAAAGTTCAGTATCCAAATAACTGCAATTGCCAGATGGATTAAGGTACCTCAAAAAGTAAACATACTTACTCAGACAACAATGCATCTTTTTGCCACAGAAAGGGATCATGCTTCAATTATACTTTATGTTTTTGGAACATGTCTTTAATCAAACTGCAGATCTATTTTTCTCATGCATCGGCTGCTCCAAAACAAATAATAAGATAAACTTTCAAGGTCCACCAGCTGTTTTTTTAACAGCTTGACAATTATTCTTCTCAGGCAATATTTAGAAGTATCTTAACTTTTCCAGTTTCTTCTTCATTTGCTAAATATTAATATGTGGCATAACAGCAGTGGCATTTAAAGTTTTAAATAACTTTAGGATGAGTTATTTACATAATGAAGATAAATGTAAAACACAGCAGAAATTAGATGGGATTATATGTTCAACGGGAATCAGCTGAGTTATCTAAATATAAATCTAGCTTGAGGTTCAACACAAAATATTAAACTATAAAATGCCAGTTCCCAAAATATGACTTTTTGACAGCTGCCACTGCCAATTCCTTCACATATATAGGGGTGAATATTTCTGAGAATGCTGTTTTCAACTTATTGCTGTAGCTTCCACATCTCTTTTTCAAGAAAATGTAATACTTACTTGCCTCAGCAGGTAGCCAAGAGGGTTCAAAAACTCTACGAGACGGGGCAGCAAAGTGACAGAGAAAAGTTACTCCTCCTTGTCTAGATTTTGCAACCTAGATATGGTAGGTAATACCTGAATGCAAGACTATTAGGCAATACTAGAACTGTAGGCTAAACTAATCATCATCATCGTTCTGGAAGAGGGCTATGGCAAGCCACTTTCTTACAATTGGCAAGAAAACTGCAGGGACATGTCCATAAAGTCAACAGGAGTTGAGTGTGACTTGAAGACAAACTTTAACAAAAAACTTGAATATGATTAATATTGGACAAAACATATATGGCCAAATTCTTTGTAACATCAATAGATTAGATATAGTGTGGGTGGCAAATCTGTGACCTACCAGATGTTTTTTTTTTAATTACACTTTCCCACTGTTCCATGCAGCATGGCCAATGGAGAGTCAATGTAGCAGGACTTCCAATATACTGTATGGTCATAAGTAGTCCTGACTAATATTCATACTGTGAACAGTGGGTTATAAGGAACAACAAATTACAATATTTGTATCTTAAAACACATTAAAAGGGTCCTGTAGAAAAAAATTGACTAGTTCTAGTAAGAGCCAGGTTCAAGTCCTTGGTTGGTCAGGATGTTTCTTGGGGGACCCTGGGCCGTTCCCCCTTTTTCTCAGCTCACACTCCCTTGGAGGTATGCTTGCAAAACACATTAAGCCAAAAAGTCCAGTCAATAAAATTACACATGCCATCTTTTATTATATAAATTATTGTACTGTCCTAGCTCAGAGAGCTAACTATTCAGGATTTATAGAAACTGGACCTCGTAACCAACCATAAACTTTGATTACAGCATCTTGGTTCCTATAAATCTGAAATGGCAGCCCTTCCAGCCTATGCTGGAGGAGTAGCTTACTCGTTGTTGTTTTTTTTGGACAACATGGAGAAAGAGTAGGAAATACAACAGAGAAGCCTGGAATTCTGAAGAGACCATGCAAGGTGGCATTCCAGGAATACTTCTGGAAGACTAACAGTCAACTATTTGGGTAAATACACTAACAGAAATACAAATATGGTAGAACTATACAGTAGGGGAATAGTTTTATTTATGGCTTGCAGTGCAGGAATGAAAGGGCAAGCCACATTGTCTGCCATGACCATAGTCCTCCTCCTGCACTGCTGTTCAAGTAAACCACAAAGGCCTGCTGGGTGTGTCCCCATGGTACCCATGCCACCAATGTGCCAGTGGGTGTCTAGAGCTTTCCTTTTATATTACAGCACAGCTGAGATGGCCAAAGTGCATATTCCTTTCTTAAAAATATATAAATTTTATAAATAATATAAAAATATAATATAAAAATAGATATATAACTGACAATCTGGTACCGAGAAAAAAAGCAAGCCAGCTTCTTCACATGCTTATACATAGGTTCATTTGGGAGGGGTGCTGATAATTTAGCGGCAGGCAGAATGCCTGCTCTGTCTGGGGGGAAAAAAACCAACCACCCTCAGTTCAATGCCTAGCACCTCCAATTAAAGCCTCCTGCTGTTTTCCCTTAATGGGGATAAGTGGGTTGGACTAGAAGACCTCTAAGATCCCTTCCAAGGCTATGATTCTTTGATCTGGGGACTAGTTAAAGCAGAGTTCTGGTGAAGTGGGCAAAAAGCCTGCAGTAAAATGTGCAAGTGATAACTTTTTCTCTAAGGCAAAGCAGAAAGAGTACCACTAGATCAAAGGGGGCAGGCGCTGCTCCGAAGGAAAGGAGTTTGCATTTGCAGCGGCCCCCAGGGACTCGCAATTACCCCCCTCGGCCCCTCCCACTTTCATTTGGTCCTTCGCTTCGAGGCACCGGCGAACCTACCAGGGGTGCAGGTCCTTCCGCAGAGGTGAGTCTAAGCCGGTGCACCTGCGGGGCGCGATCTGCAGCGCAGAAACCCCTCGCAGCCGTCCGCCTCCAAAGCTTCGGTTGCTAAGCTGGTCGTCAACTGCGACGTTCTAGAGCGCCAAGCGGGCTTTGGACCGTACCATTGCCTAACTCTGGGAGGGGAGACTAGGAGAAGCGACCACGTTTTGACGGACTGTCAGTAAAGCGCAGAACGTCTCTCTCTGCCCTGGAAATCAGAGTGCTTTGTGTTGTTCGGGCTGCGTTGCAACTCTTGGAAAAGAAAAAGTTGGAGTTGAATAATAGAGACCGGACGGTACAATTAATTAATAGCAATTAATAGCAATTAATTAGCCGAGACGGCTGGGGGATTGCAAGACCTTAATACGTGTTTGAAAGAGAGGAAATGGGACAGGTAGCATTAAGAAAGGGGGACGCGGTAAGCACACCGCCCATTCCTTTTACGTTTATTATCTCAGCCATACGTATGTAGTTCAACTTCCAGGCAGCTACCCAAAGCTATATCCAACAAAACATCTACTAAAAAAATAAAACAGTGAAGAGCTGAGAGGAAAATGTGCCGGCCCAGCCGCTGTAAAAATACGATGACACATTTTTAGCTGCTAGGACTACATATTTCAAATGCGCCTAGTAACAGTAACCTATATTTTGCCGTGAGTATTTTATATTGTGTATGTGTGTTTGCGTGAGTGTTGCCCAGCTAGGTAGCAGCAAATAGCTGATCTGGATAGTGCTTGGGTAGATTGATAGATTGAGAAACTAAAACATAATCCCAAAAGAAGGCAACGGCAAACTGCTTCAGTACAATTTCCAAAAACCCTTTATGGTTGTGTCTGTGAAGCCACTGGGCTCTAAGCTTCATTTAAAGAAGATTTTGCCTTTTTAAAAATACAGTACAGTACTTGCCTGTTTCATATACTTTCAAATCAACCCAGAGGGTAATGTAGCATTAGCACATGGCCTCCAGCACCAGATTATTTCCTTTGGCCCCCTGAGGAGCATGGAATGGAAAAGTATTGTGCCTGTGATTCTTGCAGGACAACAAGGATGTATTCACCCATAGCTGACCCTTCTATGTTAGCCTATATCTAACCTAGATAACCTATTAAATGTTATCAGGATGTATTCACCCATAGGTGACCCCTCTAGGTTAGCCTACATCTAACCTTGGTGACCTATTAACTGTATTCACCTGTAGTTGACATCTCTTGAGAAAACAAAAGTTATGGGGATGGGTCCACTGCACAGAAGAGATCAAAGGGAAATCCCAGTTAAGGTGATGAAGAACTTCTTGAACAATCAGTAATCTCTAAACGTTATACAGTATCTCCTTGAAGCAAAATGTATAAAAACCCTGATCTCTTTTTGTTCGGGGAGCCTCTTTTC